TGGTCATCCCATACCTCCTATTCACCCCAATCACACATTCAGGGCCTCTACCAGATATTTTGGGGCCCCTGACAAATCACAAGGTCTGGGCCCCCCCCCTCCCGGGCCCGCCCACCTCACCCGCCATATCCCCCCCACCGGGCCGCCCCACTCCTACCTAGTCCGCTGACAATGATGCAGGACTGAATGTGGTGTGTATAGTGGAAGTGAATTAGAATGTGTGTAATGGGTGTAGTGTTTGTGTGTATTAGATACTGTTTGTGCAGTGAATTCAGAGTGTGTGTTTGTGTAGCGGATGCAGTGTGTATAGTGAACACAGAGTGTGTTTGAGTAGTGGATGTAGTGTGTGTTTGTGTAGTGGATGTAGTGTTTGTGTGTACTAGATGCAATGTGTTTAGTGGATGCAGTGTCTGTAGTGGATGTAGTGTGTGTATTAGACACAGTGTCTCCGTATAGTGAATGCAGAGTGTTTGTGTGATGGATGTAGTGTGTGTACTGTGAATACAGGATGTTTGTGTAGTGGATGCTGTGTGTATAGTTAATGCAGAGTGTGTGTCAGTGTAGTGAATGCAGAGTGTGTGTCAGTGTAATGAATGCAGAGTGTGTGTTAGTGTAGTGAATGCAGAGTGTGTGTCAGTGTAATGAATGCAGAGTGTGTGTCAGTGTAGTGAATGCAGAGTGTGTGTGTGTTTACTAGTGTATGCATGTAATGTAATAATGTAAATGTAAAATCTGTTATTCCCCCCTCCCTGCTTCTTACCTGGTCCGGGGAGTGGGGAGATTGCATCCCTGGTGGTCAGGTGGCATGGTGGGGTCCACGGCTCCCTGTATTTGCAGAGGGGGCCCAGCAGTCTGCAGCTGTACATTACAGCTCTTCCCTCTCTCTAACTCCTGTGAGCGTGATGTGCATGGAGCGTTGCCATGGTAACTCGTGGCAACGCTCTGACGGCGGCACATCTCGCGGGAGTTAGAGAGGGAGGAGCTGTAAAGTACTGCTGCAGACTGATGGGCCCCCTCTGCAAATACAGGGAGCCGGGGGCTCGTGGCTGCACCTGCACTGCACATATATATAGCCATCATGGTTGTCACCCCCTGATGGCGGCCCTGCACACATTCATTCAAATGCCACTCTGATAAGTACCAGTTGATGCATTGCCAAGTCCACTTGGTCCTACTGGGCAAAATGTTCCAAGTCCACCTGGTATTTCTGTGCACAAAAATCATTGGATGTCATAATCCGAATGGTAACCCCAGCAGCAGAGGACAAAACTGATAAATGAATTATGCCCTTGAAATTCTCACTTCTGCTCTTGGAGATTAAGACAACAACAAAAACTAGAAGAATTGCAAAATAAAAACAAAAATACCTGAAAATAAAAAATATCATTTTAAAAAAGTGCTCTCTTATGAAAACAACTGGTTACATTTCATTTCCTACCAGCAACATTCCAATTCTATCTACTCCAGGGAAGATGTTTTCATGTGCCATTCATATAAAAATTATTATTTTATAAAAAAGTTCCGTTTTAATCTCCTTTCACAGGACGTCCAGATTTGTACTTTAGTTTGGCCTACGATTGCAGAAGAAATTGCTTGGGATGTCTCATTTATCCTTTTAGATTTTTTGGTACCAGGACTAAGTATTGTGATCAGTTACACCAAAATTTACAAGGTATGTAAATTTCAACAATTTGATTTTTGTTAAATTTATTTCCAATACTTGAGTTTTATGTGTTATAAATAGTGATGTCGCGAATGGTTCGCCCCATTTTGAAGCTGCATTCTTAGTGAGCTGTCCAGGACGTAGGAGGGTCTGGGAGGGAAGGTCTGCTGCTGATTGGCTGGAATGTGTCTGCTGACTGTGAGGTACAGGGTCAATGTTTACTCAATGATGAGTCCGCGGCGAACCGTTAGCGAACAGTTCGGGACATCACTAGTTATAAACCATATCTGCAAATATATGGAAATAAAACAGTTTTTTACACAAAGACAATGATTGGCATTTTGTGGCTAATCAGCTGCCACTGACTATAAATCTAATTCTCGGGTAGACAGATTGCGGCACAGTCACAATAATCGTAATACGCAGCATTCCTTAACTTTTGTGTCACTTTAACCCACTCCCTCTAGCATGTAAGCTTATTGAGTAGGGCCCTCAACCCCCCTGTTGTAAAGCGCTACGGGCACTATATAAATATAATAATAATATAAAGCACTGGGTGATGTTTAGAACAGACTTCTCTTACAAACGTGCACACAATAACCCTCCCACTCCAACACTGAGTAAGTCTCAGTCAGTTCTCCTGCAGAGTTGTGGCTGGCAATATTCCCAGAGTTTTTCACATAAATCATGCGAGCAGCTTTGCTAACCGCAATATGGAGATCAGACAGACGCAGGTTTCCTGTTTTACAGTTTGAACTCTATCCATCTGTAATTTTAGTCATTTTTCCAGTGCCTGCAATAAAAAAAAAATTAAAAAAATATTCAAAATAGTTTGCTAACACGTCTGGCCTAAAAGTTTAAAAACCCATTCGAAGCTATTAAAAATACAAAATAATAATCTGTTATTTGTATATATTGTACTGCGTATATATTCAAACTCTAATATAGATCTCCCGTATGTGCCTATTTCTGTTGATTGTATTTTTTGCTATTTTGTCAATTTGATTAGGTGTTGAAACTATTTTTGCTCTGTTTATTTTAAAATGTATACCTTTGGCACCACTCCAGCACCGCAGTTAAAGGACCACTATAGTGCCCTGAGGGTGCCTTTTTCCGGGCGGGGAGCTCTCCTCCTCCGATCCTCCTCCGTTCTTCCCATTCGGCTGATTGCGCACGCGTGGCAAGAGCTGCGCGTGCATTCAGCCGGTCGCATAGGAGAATCACGCAAGCGCCTCTAGCGGCTGTCAATGAGACAGCCGCTAGAGGATTTGGAGGAAGTATTAACCCATTTGTAAACATAGCAGTTTCTCTGAAACTGCTATGTTTATAAAAAAAATGGGTTAATCCTAGAGGGACCTGGCACCCAGACCACTTCATTAAGCTGAAGTGGTCTGGGTGCCTAGAGTGGTCCTTTAAGGAATTTGAAAAACATCAAGCTAGACTTGTCTGTTAAATGGCTAGATTTAGTTAATCACCAAACAAGTTTATCCATGTTTCATTCATATTCTAAGCAAACATCACTCATTCCCTGCTATACATGATGCCTTAATAGGCTGGGAGAGACTCCTAGCCCATCATATGTGTTCATATATCATGGTTCTTGTGGAACAACAAGTTGTATTGTAATGTGTTGGTGAAATCCACTTTCAAGTCACTATTTGGTTAATAAAATCCAAATTCTTTTACAATCTTCATATGAGAATTTGTCAAGATACTCACATACTGGGTTATTCTCTAAAGTGAGAATTGCCGGGGAATTCAAAAGGGAATTTCAAAATTTAGGTCAAAATTAGACGAATTAGAAAAATTCTCCAAGTCAGTTTTCGGTTTGGCTATTTTGGCCTCAAATTTCTCATTACCACTAGAACTCTGCAGTTTCCGGTGATATTTGGCAATGGTAAATCAGTGATGGATCCCGGGGCAGTACCCTTGGCAAAATGCTCCTGCTGAAAAGAATTTATGTCTGGCCTGGTAATTAATAAAGTGCCAAGGCCACCACTTCTTAACCCTGCTACACATACAGGAGAGAGAGGGAATTGATTCATCAGGCAAGAATCAGTGTCATAGGAGCTGCTGCATGCCAAAATGTATTAAGGTGTTTGTCAATGTATGCATATTTGTAAATGTGTTGAGCTTGTTACTGCAGGGACAACACTAATTCCCAAATGTGTATTCTTTCTTTATATTCAGTTTTTCTTCAGCCAACTTCCTTATGAAATTATGGCTGAAACAATCATCTCAGGCGTAAACTGCAAATTCTGTATTTTAGGAATTTTCCAGCTTGTGTTTCACAACCCACTCAATCCAAGGCAGTGAAAGATACACAATCCTATCAGGGTCAACGAGTTTTCAAGCAAAAGATCTCTAGCCCTAAGAAAAGGTCATGGACTTTTAGCAGGTCATAGAGAACCAAGCTGGGATTTCACTCATTATTTAGTTATTATCTATGAGCATCTATCAGGTGGTTGATCATGTTTCTATATTCTACTTATCATACTGTGGATACTTAGTTATGTTTGTAAAATATTTCTTATTTACAATTAATCACTAACGCAACTAATTAATTTTTCTTTTTCTTTTGATATACGCAGATCACCAGAGAAATGAGGGAGCGTCTGATAACAAGCACGGCATACTCTGAAAACCATCAACTTAAGGTCTCTCAAAGGGACTATAAACTTTTTCGGACCTTGCTCATCCTGATGGTCTCATTTTTTGTGATGTGGACACCGATTTTTATTACTGTTTCATTGCTTCTTGTCCAGAACCTACACAAAGATTTCACTATTCCTTCAACGCTCTTCTTTTGGATAGTAGCCTTTACTTTCAGCAATTCATTCATCAATCCAATATTATATAACATTAATTTATTCAAAAAGAAATGGTGGCAAATAATTTTTTGTTGTTCTGCTGATGAAAATCTGGATACAGACACAATTAACAAAAAGAACACAACTCCAAATATTTCAACAGATCTTGATTAGGGCCTATTATTTTCTGTCTCTGAATCTGTGGATTAAAAAAAAAACATTTTAGAAAACTTTAACAACATTCTTAATTGTAGTTTTTGTCTGTAGTAAATATTTTGTGTTCCTTTAAAGATTTCAGAATTATTTTCTGATATGTTTGAAATTCTCAGATCAACCTGATAAACCAATGTTTCAAGCTTTTTTTCAATTGTTTTTTTGTTGTTTTTAAATTCTTTATTTTTGCTTTGACAGAGGACATATGTGGTATTGAACATAGACTGGTATACACAGTTTAGAACGTAAACCACATCTCCATATGTATAATAAGAAAACCCCTTTCTACAGCATAATTAAAGAAAGTGAGGTATCTCAAGACTGTCATTATTGTCTGCAAAAACCATCTTGGATACGAACTGTTAAAAAGTTTTGATTAATTGTGAAAAGAAAAAACATAGATTAAGTTTATGTTAAACATATGACTGGGAAATCATTTTAGGTTTTTACGTGCCTAAGCATGTCGGATAATATTTACATGCCCTGCTTGAAAATTAGGAACCAAGCTCTATTTGCTACTGGAGTGGATAGGAAAATATTAGAGCAAGGATAAGGAGGAAAAGAATGACGGGAAGGTGTGGAGGGTGTGGGCGGTTGGAGCCGTAGTCAAACAGGTGGGAGAAAGTATTCTTGAGCATGCATATTAGAATGAGATGGATAATCTCTGGGGAGTATGTCGCAAACATTCAGTGCTGAGGAAGGGCATCAGTGGACAGGGGTGTGAAAACTGGTTCAGGGGCTAGAGCATGAGAGCAGACATTTACCGACTCTTATCTCCCGAGTCAATCGTTCACATCACTATTAATCCATTCCTCCCATACTCTTTCAAATGAACTTGTCAAACCTCTAACTTGAGCAGTCAGTTTGTCCATAAGGTAGGTATCTGTGAAGAACTGAACTTCGTCATGGGTTCTTGGAGGGGCCTGCTGGCCAACCTTTTGCCTCAGGACTATGGGCCCTGCAATATACCTTGCCCAATGCACTTGAAAAGGCCCTGTTCATGTGAGTTATGTACTTTTGTACTCCAGACAGAGAGACCCACCGTTAGCCCTGATTCCCTGGAACTGTTTTTGGGCATAGGACCAAAAATAAGGCTTCCAGGAAATTCCTGAACCCCTGAACAGATGTGGGTGATTTTTGGATATGTTGGTTGCCAAGATCAGGGCTATCAGGGGATGTGACTTTTGTGGGGGGGTTTGTGTGTTTTATGGTACTTTTGGGGTGTTTTGTAAAAGTATGTTTTTTCTGTGCTTGGAGGTAGTTGGATTAGAATTAGTACAGTTACTGATCCAATTATCTCCCAGGCAGAGGGGAGGGATTGTATGCTTGTATATGGAAGTGTCATGTATTTAAACACCTTTGTCATTGGCCTGTGACTTTGTGCTGCAGTCCCCTATAAGGTCCAGGGGGGAGTGCCCCTTGCATGGGCACATGCATATAAAGCCAGTTGTGGCCGCCATTAAAGGATTCCAGCTTGCACTCAAAAACTGTGTGTCGTCCTATTATTGGAGAGAAGGAAGATTTAACTCCTGTGCCTGCTGTTCCAGCTTGCAGGGGATTCAACGGGGAAAGTCCTTGTAAGGACTAGAGCTCCCAGGACTGAGTGTCGTCCAGTGCCTGGGGGTGTCTAGAGCAAATTCCCCATTTGGCTCCAGGAAGAAGCGGTTCCAGGGCCCCAGTCAAGCCACGGCGACTGTGGACAGAAGTGCGACGGTTTGTCCCCTGTATCAGCTAGGAAGCGATCCTTTGGCGGAGGTACCAAGCTGGGGTACAGGGAGGTCCATCACATTGGTGGCAGCAGTGGGATGGCTCCCTAGCATTGGGAAAACTAGCCCTACTTCAGAGATGGGAGGCATGTACCATTGGGCAGTATGCAGCATTGACACTCAGCTTCAGCAGCAGTTACAGGAAGTTCGTCACAGTTTGGATTACACCCTCTCAGCGGAAAAAGAGTTGGAATGGAGGGTGACGCTCTGAACCGAACTCTGGGTGGGGGTTCTAGGAGAAATGTTCCCAGATTCCAACCAACGCCGATGGGACCAATTCGACCTACGAATGCCGTTTCTGGGAGAACAGCCCATAGAGGAGTGGGTAAGAGAACCGGAGCGGTTGGTCAAAATTGAGTTATTGTTGGATAAATTCTACCGAGCCTTGAGGTGGCATGCAGACCACCTCTACCCAGAGCTACTCCCCTGGCAGCTCCCCGAGAGAAAGGACTAAGTTGGGCCTGGGCTGTTGTGGTAGGCTTTTGAGGATCCCCTGGGGTTTGAAAACCT